TACCTCTGTGTCAGACAGTTTCACTGTGATTTATCTAAGTAGATTATTTATCCTACTTGAAATTCTTTGACTTTATCCTAGAATTTGTGTCCTTCAACAGTTCTGGACAGTTCTCAGCTATAATAACCTCAAATATTGTCTCTCCTTATAGAGCTCTGATTAGATGCATTTTGTATCTTCTCATTCTCCATGTCTTTTTTCCAGGTGACATACTGTGAAAAGATACAGTCTAAATGTCCAGTAGAAGAGTAAATTATATTTCTACCATAAAAACAGAGTCATAGAACAATAAAAATAATATAAAAGAATACATATTGAATACCAGTAAGTGGGGAAAACAAAACAAAAAAGAATATGTAATGACAGGGAAAAATGTTTACAATACATTAAGTGAAAAAACCAGGTTGTAAAGCAGTATGCATGTGAGTTTGTTTTTAAGTTTTTGTGGTTCGTTGTTATTAAGCTTAAATTACCCCAAATATGCCTCTCAAGTTCACTTTGGCAAAGTAAATATTTCTGTTCATTTTTCTGGGAAATACTTTTATAAATTTGAATGGGTTTTAGTATTTTTAGGCAAAATATACAATAGCAGTTGTTAATGCTGAAATAAAAATACTTAAGCTATTACCATGTACAGTAAATGAGAAAACACAAATTCTCACTTACTTTTTATTTTTAGAAGTAGAGACGAGGTTCCACTATGTTGGTCAGGCTGTTCTCGAGCTCCTGATCTCGTGATCTGACCACATAGGCCTTCCAGAGTGCTGGGATTACAGGCATGAACCACTGTACCTGCTCACAAATTCTCATTTTTAAACATTCAGCTGCTAAAATGATAGTTCATTATCATAGGTTTTTTTTTATGTTAATAAATATAGTAAACTAGATGTTGCAGTTTTTTTTTGTTGCACACCTTTTAGCATTTATTCCGTTCTGTTTTATTTGCTTATCTGTGTAGGTCTGTGCACATAATGATGTCTAATGTTTCTTGGTTCCCATAATATAACAGAAAACTCGACATTTTATTAAAAAGTTAGAATAAAGATAATTAATATCTCATTATTCACAATCTCATTTGTGAATAATGGCAAATTGCATTCAAAATTAACTCTACCCTGGGCCAGGCATGGCAACTCATGCCTATAATCTCAGCATTTTGGGAAGCTGAGGCAGGAGGATTGCTTGAGGCCAGGAGTTCAAGTCAGACCAGCCAGGGCAAATCACTTAAAAAAAAATTAGCTGGTTGTATTGGCACACACCTGTTGTCCTAGCTAGTGGGGAGGCTGATGCAGTAGGATCACTTGAGCTCAGGTATTAGAGGATGCAGTGAGCTGTGATTGTGCCCCTGCACTCCAACCTAGGTGACAGTGAGATTCTGTCTCAAGAAGAAACCCAAAAAACTCTACCCATATTTTATTAAAAAGGTAGACATCAATTAATCCAACTGGTTTTAAAATTATAGTAGTACTGCGATTCTGTGTAAAAATAAGAAGCTGTCTATAAATCTCGGAAAATAATAAAGCACCATACACAGGAGTTACACAGAACAGCACAGTCTCATAAAAATACTGCTAAACCTTTCAGCCGAGCGCAATGGCTCATGACTGTAATCCCAGCACTTTGGGAGGCTGAGGCAGGCATATCACAAGGTCAGGAGTTGGAGACCAGCCTGGCCAATATGGTGAAACTCAGTCTCTACTAGAAATACAAAAAAGTTAGTTGGGTGTGGTGGCGCATGCCTGTAATCCCAATTTGGGAGGCTGAGGCAGGAGAATTGCTTGAACCCTGGAGGTAGAGGTTGCAGTGAGCCGAGATCATGCCAGTGCACTCTAGCCTGGGCGACAGAGCAAGATTCCGTCTCAAAAAAAAAAAGAAAAAGAAAAGAAAAAGAAAAAAATGGCTGGGAGTAGTGGAGGCTCACACCTGTAATCCCAGCACTTTGGGAGGCCAAGGCAGGCGGATCACCTGAGGACAGGAGTTCAAGACCAGCCTGACCAACACGGCGAAACCCTGTCTTTACTAAAAAATGGAAAAATTAGCTGGGTGCGGTGGCATGCACCTGTAATCCCAGCTATTCTGGAGGCTGAGGCAGGAGAATTGCTTGAACTCGGCAGGTGGAGGTTGCAGTGAGCTGAGATTGTACCATTGCACCCCAGCCTGGGAGACAGAGTAAGACTCTGTCTCAAAAAAAAAAAAAAAAAAAAAAAAAAAAAAGAGTACTGTCATACCTTTCAAATCCAATTTTTGTTATAAAATTTCGAAAAAGATTCTCAGTCAGAATTAATACCACAGTCAAGTTAAATACCAGGAAGCTACATTGCTGTAACTTAATGTACACAAAGGAATGTTTCAGAACAGAGAAATTAGAATTAAATAATTTTGGAATTTTTTTAGTATCACATCCCAAAAACTCTGTACCCATTAGCAGTTACTCCCTTTTGCCATGACGCCTCGCCCCAGTCTCTAGGCAACCACCAGCATTTTGTCTGTCTCAATAGAGTTATCTATTCTGGACATTGCTGTGTAAATAGGATCATACAATATGTATAGTTTTTTGTGACTTCCTCTTTTCACTTGGCAAAATGTTTACGTTTTACCTATATTATAGCATGTATTAGTATTTCTTTTGGTTTATTGTTGAACAATCCGTTTTATGGATATACTACGTTTTATTAATCTGCTTATCAGTTGATGGGTATTTGTTTCCACTTTCTGTTATGACTAATATTGCTGTAAATATTATTCATATACAAGTTTTTGAGAGGGCATGTTTTTCTTTCTTTTACATATATACCTAGGAATGGAATTACTAGGTCATGCGTTAGCTCCTCGTTTAATCTGTCAAGGAACTTCCAGATTGTTTTTCTTTTCTTTTCTTTTTTTTTTTTTTTTTTTGAGACAGATTATTGCTCTGTCACCCAGGCTGGAGTGCAGTGGCACCATCTCAGCTCACTGCAACCTCCAGCTCCCGGGTTCAAGCGATTCTTCTGTCTCAGCCTTCCGAGTAGCTGGGCCTACAGGCACATTCCACCACGCCTGGCTAATTTTTGTATTTTTAGTAGAGACCAGGTTTCACCATATTGGCCAGGCTGGTCTTGAATTCCTGACCTTGTGATCTGCCTACCTCGGCCTCCCAAAGTGCTGGGATTACAGGCCAGATGGTTTTTCAAAGGCCTGTACCATTTAACATTCCCACCAGCAATGTCCTGGATAGTTTAAATTTCTCTGTATTCAAGCCAATACTTGTTGTTTGTGTTTTTTATTATTGCCGTCCTAGTGGGTGTGAAATGATATCTCATTGTAGTTTTGATTTGCATTTTCCTGATGACCAGTGATGTTGTATGTCTTTTCATGTGGTGATTAGGCATTTTTTTTTTTTAAGATAGAATCTGTTCAGTTACTTTGTGTTTTAATTGGACTATTTGTCTTTTTATTTTTTTATTTTATTTTACTTTATTTTTGAGACAGTCTCGGTCCGTTGCCCAGGTTGAAGTGCAGTGGCACATTCTTGGCTCACTGCAACTTCGGTCTCATAGGTTCAAGTGATCCTCTCACCTTAGCCTTTCAAGTAGCTGAGACTATAGGCACGCATCTCCACACCCAGCTCGCTTTTGTATTTTTAATAAAGAAGGGGTAAAATCTTAGCCATTCTCATTTACCAAAATTCTTTTTTTTTGAGATGGAGTCCCACTCTGTCACTCAGGCTGGAATGCAGTGTGGCACAATGTTGGCTCACTGCAACCTCTCCCTCCTGGGTTAAAGTGATTCTCCTGCCTCAGCCTCCTGAGTAGCTGGGATGACAGGCGCATGCCACTATGTCTGGCTAATTTTTGTGTTTTTAGTAGAGATAGGGTTTCACTACGTTAGTCAGGGTGGTCTCGAACTCCTGACCTTGTGATCCACCTGCCTCACCTCTCAAAGTTCTGGGTTTACAGGTGTGTGCCACCATGTCTGGCGCCTGATTTTTTTATCCTAAAAGTACCAATTCCAGTATTTTTAGTTTTTCAGATCTGCGTCTTTTGGCTTTGTTTCTGCTGTTTCCCATTTATTCTGCCTAGTTTCCTGGTATGTTTTATGAAATTTGACTACGAGCTTCTCCTTTTTATGGAGCTTTATCTGTTGGAATTCTGTATGGCCTTGATTAATACTGTAATCTTTCAGGAAGGAATTGCATTTGTCTCTGCCAATAGCCTGCAGACCCAGCTTGGGTTTGCTTTAGAACATATTGATCTCAGATTTTTCAGACCACATGGTGTGAGTTTAGATTGCAGACTTTAGTGAGGGGGTTATGAGTTCTTGGGGCAAATTTTCCCTCTCTGAACAGCATCAAGTAGAGACAGACATATTTCCTTCTGTTGTGGTTTCTTTCTTATCCACGAGGTTGCAACCTTATGTGTGGTCCCTAGCTTTATGTTGCAGTATCCTGTTAGACTTCCCATTTTGGGCACGCCCTAGACTTTGCCATTCTATAAATCATTGTCCTCTGTTTACTATTCTGCAAAAATACTGTACCCTGTGTTGCTGTCCGTGTAGAAGCTCAAGATTTCTAGGATTTGGCAAGAATCCTTACATTACTCTCATGTCCCCTAGGGTTCTAGTTTCATTTTCTTTTTTTCTTTTTTGCCTCTGTAGATTTGTACTAGCCTAGCGATAAGTTTTAATAGTTTTTCGGTTTTTAATTATTTCACCCAGCATCTTAGTAGTCTCAATTGTAGAATCAGTTCAGGGAATATAATTTCCCATGCTGTCAGAATCGGATCTATAGCATTGCATAATTAACATAGTTGTAATTACTGTGTGTACATTTACTAGTTTTGTTCTTAGTATTTTTATGTATAAATTTCCTTCTAGTTATTTTGACCATGCTGTCATGTTTTGTGGTTGTACCATAGTTTACGCAGTTATCTTTGTATTTGTTTGCTTTCAACTTCACGATTTAAATAGTGCTACTAGGGAGCTGTATCCATCAACTTAAAAGTCATGTGTTTTTCTTCCCGTAGGTCGAATTGACATAAAACAGTTGATAGCAAAGAAGATACAGTTGACAGCAGAGGCAGAGGCAAGTAATTCCCTCTTCTAGAAACAAACATGTAGAGTTTTAGAGTTTTGTTTGGCAACATTTTTAACGCTAAATTGCTCAGATAATTATTTAAGCAGTTCATCGGTTGCCGTTATCCTGTGGAACAAGAAAATAAGATCTGCCGATCTGGATTCTGCGTAAGGATACAGATTGCCTTTTTCACTTCCATCTCATCCATCACTGGCATTTTCTGGCTCTTACAGCAAATCTTGGTTTTAGTGACCCATGTTAATAGTTGATAGAGTTGAATGTCTGTATGAGTGCTTTATGAAAGTATCTGTCATAGTTCATAGTAAATAACAGCCCTCCAATAAACGTTGAATCTGAATCTAGAAGTATATTTCCTGTTAAGGAAGTAGAAATAACAACTCAAAAAAAAAAAAAATCATGGAATCATTTCAAGTGGGGATAAATAGTTCTACAAACCAGAATTCTACAGTACCCTCAGGAAATTGTGGAGAGAAAAGAATACTTTTTAAAAAATTATAATTCGATACCTGGGTGTAAGTTGACTTTAAATCCAAAGCAAATTCCTATTTTCCCAAGGAGAAGATCACTTCCAAAATTTATTGGCCAGTTTGACTATATAAACATCCAGTGATGATGACGTAGCCCTGTTTCATTTATTTAGTTACATGTATATATGCATGTACATATGCATTTATAGAATAATCTAGATTTAGAAACATTTTTGTAATCATATTTCATGAAATTATTTATGCCAGATTTTTATGCTCACTTTGATGTCAATGCATTTGTTATTATCAGAGCTAGTTTTTCAGTTATCATCCAAGGCCGGGGCATAGTATTTGTACTTTTATCTAATTTGTTGGAGGTCAGTACTTTTTGAGTCCAAGGATGATGCTGTCACAGAAAATTTATTACAAGAACATAATTGTTTGAGATCTACCCTGCTCTTCTCCCGTCGTTCTGTAGATATATTTGTGATGTCTACAATGTAATCCCTTATGGTGCTGCTTTATAAAGTGACTTGAAATTGTGGGTATAGACTCCTAGTTAATAGGGTGTTAAACTTTATTTTTCCTGATTCTGTTAAGTTACTCGTGTAAGCCTCCAGCACTGCAGTGACCAAGGTCATTTCTGGTGAATGTCTTTTCCAATTAGTGCTTCGTTTCTCCATCATAAGAGATTGTTTAAGGATTTGTTATGTAACTTCTTATCTAATGACTAATTTATAATTTTGGCTAAGAAAAAAAATATTTAATGTATAAGCACATGCTAGTTTTAGATGTCTATTCTTTGTATTTTTTTTTTTTTTTTTTGTATTTTTTTTAGTAGAGACGGGGTTTCACCATGTTGACCAGGATGGTCTCGATCTCTTGACCTCGTGATCCACCCGCCTCAGCCTCCCAAAGTGCTGGGATTACAGGCTTGAGCCACCGCGCCCGGCAATGTCTATTCTTTCTTGCAAGTTTAGTGATGAAAATAGTTTTTGTTTTTGTGGTTTACTTGGGTGTTTCTGACCCTTCTTATTTCTCTAGTCTGGCAGGATACCTGCATTGTCTTGTATTCCTTTTTCAATTCTCCTTTTTCCTCTTTTGCTCCTCCCCTTCTTATCAAGAACACAAAACCTTATGATGTTCTATTTGTGAGGGAAAGTTTCAAATAGGTGAAAAGTAAGTCTGTCTCGGATATCATTCCTCTGTTTTAAAAATCTAAAGTGGGAGGAGAACGTTTTCCCATACGGAATCACAAACCCAAAGGGGAAAGGGAGTTTGGAGTGGAAAGTAGAGGTTTTGGGGAGAAGGAATAAAAAGGGGTGGCAGGAAGAGAGATAATGGGGGAATGTTTCAAGGATTTAAGTTAAAACTTTTTAAGGCCGGGCGCGGTGGCTCAAGCCTGTAATCCCAGCACTTTGGGAGGCCGAGGCGGGTGGATCACGAGGTCAAGAGATCGAGACCATCCTGGTCAACATGGTGAAACCCCGTCTCTACTAAAAAAAAAAAATACAAAAAACTAGCTGGGCGTGGTGGCGCGTGCCTGTAATCCCAGCTACTTAGGAGGCTGAGGCAGGAGAATTGCCTGAACCCAGGAGGCGGAGGTTGTGGTGAGCCGAGATCGCGCCATTGCACTCCAGCCTGGGTAACGAGAGCGAAACTCCGTCTCAAAAAAAAAAAAAAAAAAAAAAAAAAAAAAAAACTTTTTAAAGAATATTCTACTTGTCTGTTTCGAATATTAATAAAATTATGAAATCCTTTGGCTTGGTCACTTTAGGAGGATTAGAAGGAGAGAGTAATGAATGAAGTAAGGGAAAAGTTGAAAGAAGGGTGGACCTTGGTTTAGCTCGTATTACATGTATTGTGCAAGTGACATAAGGGCTGCAGAGTTGCGCAAGACTTGTTCCCTGACGTTAAGGGAAGCAGTGGCCTGAACAAAGGTAATGGTGTCAGAAAACTTACACTGTACATATTTTAGGGCACTTGATGGGCATCTGTGTCCCTATTGGGGCACAATGGCAAGAAAAAGTTGAAAAATTGAGGCTAGATTATAAAGCATTTTTCTCGACTTTTATGCCCTCATTCATGTAGCTCTTTCTACATGAAATTTCCTCATTCTGTCTTCACCAATCAGAATAATATGTATCCTTCAAATTCTAGGTTAAATCTTGCTGCTTCTACAGTCTTTTGAACATTGCAGTTGAAATGATGTCTTCTCTACTCTATATTGCTAAGTGCTTAGTTTATATCCCTAATATATACTCTTAATGAGTCAACAAATGTCGTTTGGTGAACTTTAGGTGATTTGACTTAGAAGTTTTTTATTCGTCAGTTGTTTGCTGTCTAATGAGATTGAATATTTTACCATTGTTTATTAATCGTAATTTTTTTTTTTTGAGATGGAGTCTCTCTCTGTTGCCCAGGCTGGAGTACAGTGGCACGATCTTGGCTCACTGCAACCTCTGCCTCCACAGTTTAAGTGATTCTCCTGTCTAAGCCTCCCTAGCAACTGGGATTACAGGCATGTGCCACCATGCCCGGCTAATTTTTATATTTTTAGTAGAAGCAGGGTTTCACCATGTTGGACAGACCGGTCTCAAACTCCTGACCTCAAATAATCCACCCACCTCGGCCTCCCAAAGTGCTGGGATTACAGGCGTGAGCCACTGTACCCAACCAATTGCAATGCTTTTTAACAAGATACAGTGGGACTACTGTTCTGATCTGAAAGTTCAGGATGGAATATAGAGTTTGGAGACAGTCAGAATAGGTAGGGAGCTATATTTTACTATAAGACTGAGAAACAGATGAACCAGTAGGAGAAGGGAACTACATTTAGAAGCTCTCTCACAGTCTAAGCTTTTATACTAGGTACTTTATATAAGTAATCTTTTTTTTTTTTTTTTTTCATTTTTTGAGACAAAGTCTCACTCTGTTGCCCAGGCTGGAGTTGAAGTGGTGCGATCTTGGCTCACTGAAACCTTCGCCTCCTTGGTGCAAGTGATTCTCCTGCCTCAGCCTCCTGAGTAGCTGGGATTACAGGCACGCGCCACCATGCTCAGCTAATTTTTGTATTTTGTGCAGATATGGGGTTTCACCATGTTAGTCAGGGTGGTCTGGAACTCCTGACCTAGTGATCCACCCGCCTGGGCCTCCCAAAGTGTTGGGATTACAGGTATGAGCTGGAACTCCTGACCTAGTGATCCACCCGCCTGGGCCTCCCAAAGTGTTGGGATTACAGGTATGAGCTGGAACTCCTGACCTAGTGATCCACCCGCCTGGGCCTCCCAAAGTGCTGGGATTACAGGTATGAGCTAGAACTCCTGACCTAGTGATCCACCCGCCTGGGCCTCCCAAAGTACGGGGATTACAGGTGTGAGCCACTGCGCCCGGCATATATACATAACCTTATTTACTTAAATCATCCCATTTATAAGAGATCTCTAATTGGTCACTTTTTTATAGTTGTTGCTTAGCTTTATTGGTTGACATTTACTAACATGGAAGGACCTGAGATTATAGGTACCTGAACATTGTTCGGAGCCATGAACTTTGCTTGTTTTTTCACATCTTAATTCCTTTTCTCTTGTGGATTTTTTTTTTTTTTTCTTTGAGACGGAGTTTCGCTCTTGTTACCCAGGCTGGAGTGCAATGGCGCGATCTCGGCTCACCGCAACCTCCGCCTCCTGGGTTCAGGCAATTCTCCTGCCTCAGCCTCCTGAGTAGCTGGGATTACAGGCATGCACCACCATGCCCAGCTGATTTTTTGTATTTTTAGTAGAGATGGGGTTTCACCATGTTGACCAGGATGGTCTCGATCTCTTGACCTTGTGATCCACCTGCCTCGGCCTCCCAAAGTGCTGGGATTACAGGCTTGCGCCACCGCGCCGGCATCTTATGGATTTTTATAAATAATTTTGTTTTGTTTTGTTTTGTTTTGGAGACGGAGTTTCACTCGTTACCCAGGCTGGAGTGCAATGGCGCGATCTCGGCTCACTGCAACCTCCACCTCCTGGGTTCAGGCAATTCTCCTGCCTCAGCCTCCTGAGTAGCTGGGATTACAGGCACGCGCCACCATGCCCAGCTAATTTTTTTGTATTTTTAGTAGAGACGGGGTTTCACCATGTTGACCAGGATGGTCTTGATCTCTTGACCTCATGATCCATCCGCCTCGGCCTCCCATAGTGCTGGGATTACAGGCTTGAGCCTCCGAGCCCGGCCTACAAATAATTTTTAAAAAGTGAAAGTTAGGAATCTTTCTGGTCGTTTGTAATTTGGTGTCATGTTCCTCCCAGTTGTCACTTCATCTTTCCTTGATCTTTAAAGTGAGAGCATTGCATGAGTTGTTTTCAAGGTCCTCTTTAGCTGTAAAGATTTACGTCATAATTGTGCAGCTGACTAAAGCTTTTTCAGAATTTACTGCTTGTTACTGTAATCAGTAAGTCTCATTGGGCAGCTGTTTCAGCTCCACAGAACGAGTTGTCAGGTAAAATACAGTATGTCCAGTCGAATTTGAATTTC